TTTATTAGAGACGCCAAGAGAACCAACATTTGGGAATCGAATCACTCCGGCGACGAAAAATCACCCAAGGGGGTGAGGGACTGCATTTCAAAAACATATTTTATAAAAAAAAGCATGAAGAAAAAGATGAAAATATGTCCAAAAGATTGTTATTCAGTATTATTTATTATTTATTTAGAACCAAAGCATTTTTAAGCAAAATTACAAAATCTTGCCTTATATTTTCTTCCTCATCTTCTGCCACTTGTCTGATTTCTTTTTCTAGTCTTCTCACCATATCGTGTTCATGTAGATAACCCAGAGTGATGCTCATCACTTTCGGCTTGTGCTCTATCTCAGCCAGGAACTTGCTGATGAAGGCTTGTTGACGTCTATGGAGAGAACGATGGCGATGGAATTGTCTTCTTCCGAGGAATCCTCTTACCACTACAGATAGACCAGCATTGTATTCATGACTGAATATCCTTGCATATTATTTTAATCATTAACCCTTTGAGAGGCATAATTTTTCCTGCCAATATTTTATGTATCTTAATTTGCATAATATTTTGGATAATTTTGAATGAATGGACATAATTTCCAATTGGCAATAGGCTTTGATCAAAAGTTTCAAAAAAATCTAAAAAAATTATGCATTTTTTTATTTGTGAAATGTGAGAGAAGTTGACCGACGCTCAAAGGGTTTGAGGGCACCAGATGCTGGACCGAAGTGACATTCATGGTCCAAATGGGTACTAAAGGGTGGTGGAGATCGCACTGCGTCCTGTTCGAGATGGGACTCATAGAGACGTATACAATGTGTGTATCGGTAAATACATTGTTTGTTTACATGAAATTCATGAATTTCATGCAAATTCATATGAAAGTACACAATGATAATTTCGTCTCAGTATAACATGAACTAAAGAAATATGACCAGTTGCCTCAAATGACACTGACCTGTTTGGCATATATTTATCTTCCTTTCTGCCATAATGCACATTTGGTTAAGCTTCTCGACATGCCAGTATCTGAGAAACAACTTGCTAGTTCCCACCTAGGAGAAAAGGACCACATCAATTGAGCATTAAACATAAATTAAACAATTATAACGACAAGATATGATAATTAATGGACATTCAAAAGGCGGGGTGAATATTTAGTTCAATCAGTACCCTGAAAAAAACAAATGTTTATCCCATCAAAAGAAACTATAACAATAACTATTTGGAAAGAACAATATTGGCTCTATTATATGTTCATTGTAAATAAACCAATAATTCATTGGCTAATATTAACAAAAAATGTGAGATCTTCAAGTATTTCAGCCAATTGGAGATACCCTTGTATAATGTTGGTGCACTTACCTGCCAGTCTTTTAATTTACAATATTTCAGCATGAGAATACACCTGTCTAGATCAGACATTTCTCTGTTCCATGGTATGCAGCTTACTTTCAACACAGCATGTCTGCAAGTGATATATATAACTACTATTAACACTGCCCTCATACACTACAATTGCATTTTACTTTGTTTTTAAGCATTTTTTCAATTTGATTCATAATCATATTTTGATAATATTTTCATCTGTGCTTTGCAATAAATAAATTATTTTTTGGAGATTTGTTTGTATTTTAATGGGAAACATTACTGTAGACAAATAGTGATAGATATTTTTTGGGGCTTGGTTGCTTGGGCTGAACTTGAATACTGAAATTTTTTTGGATTCAGAAAAGTTTTGTCTTTATTTTGTTTAAGGTAGCGGGACTATTATTTGCATACTTGTTTTCATCTTCTAATTGTGACTAAATGACTACAAATAGACCCGGGAAAGTATATATTTTTAGAATCGCCATACTTCAAGCTTTTCACAAGTGTATTTTGCATGCCCGTATCTGCATTCCACGACGCGTTACTCAATCAAAGGTGAAAA